AAATCCGTCGGAAAGTTGTTTTTCCGACGGATTTCCGACGGATTTTGCCGTCGGAAAAACCCCATTTTTTAGTAGTGAGTGTTTGAGGACCAGAGCGGCTCTGGTTGGTCTTCATGTTAAAACCAGAGAGCCTCTGGTTGTATTTGGGTCTAAGTTCTTTTCCAAATATTTTAATTTATCTTGAACCAGAGGCTCTGCATGTGCTATGCAGAGGCTCTGTATTTGGAAGTTAAGCTTATGTTCGAGTTCTGTGGTTGAGCTTTGTATCCAAGCTATGTTCGAACTCTATATCCGAGATCTTAGTACCAGGAACTTTTAATGCTCAAATCCTTTTTGGTTAAACCATTTTCAAACTTCGTTTTTATATTAAAACTTAGAAGCCCAGAACATAGTTCAACCAGAAGGGCTCTGATCGTCTAGATGGCCTCTAGTTGGCTCGGCCTCTGGATGGATTACTTCTATTTATTCTTGTCCTTGAAAAAATGTTCAAACCTTTAGTAAAGGACCAGAGAGGCGCTGATTAATCTTCATGATTAATCAGAAGGCCTCTTGTTGCATTTAAAATCCATTCTTTCAAATATTTCATTTTTGTTACCAAAAGCTCTGGTAAGGCGAACCAGGGGCTCTAGTCGTCTAAATTTTGTAATTATGAGAGGTTGATTAACCATTTTTATTGTGCAGGGTGTTAATCATGGATATTATCATATTCATTATTTTAATTTTAGATAAATACATGAAACAGTTTCATTAAAATTTCATTAATTAGTATATGAAACAATTTCATAACCACATATGAAACAACTTCATCAAAAAAAGTATTATATGAAACAATTTCACAAGATTAACAATTTCATTAAAAAAATTCATAAGATTAACGATGGATGAGAGTAGTTTTTACAGTTTTTACAAATTGGAATGATTTTTATTTGATCATTCCTCTATATAAATATATATATATGACGATAATTAAATGAGAACAATAAAAATATTACAAACCTATGAGGTATAAAAATAACTTTCTATATTAGATTTTTTTTTCATCAAAAACTATAATTTAAAATATTATTTTACATATCTTTATATTTCACTGTGAAAAAAATTGCATGTGAAACTTTTTTAATTAACTTCAATATGTATGGCGAAACAAATACATGTGAAACTATCACATAATGAAACAAATATATGTGAAGCAATATCTTAAATTTTAGCATTTAATAAAAAAAATCATCTAACAATTTATTTTTAAATTATTTCTTACATAGTCTGCAACATTTTTATAGTTATTTATATTGATGAGATTCGTATAGTTTGGTAAGGTTTTCCAAATCATTGGGTTTACAAAACCGTATCGTGTGTATTATAAAACGTATCAAATTTGTTTCTCGTATTACATAAAAACGCACTTCTACTTCTATTCAGACGTTTTCCAGCTTCAGGAGAGGAAGATGATCGACTGCATCACCGCCATTCTTTTCCATCCTGCCCACCGCTGCCGGACTGTAACGTTGCAGCATTTGGCACACTTCCTTCATCGAGGGTCTGTTGCTTGCCAATTTGCTGGTGCACCACAGCCCAAGTTTGAACACACCGGTTATCTCATTCAAATAAACCGGCTCGTTAACGTCGTTGTCTAGCGCATCGGCCATGGGTGCACCCCCTAGCGTATGTTGCCAAGCCCATTCCGCTAGCGATGAATGCTCGCTTCCGTCACTCGCTTCCTTTCCCGTTGTCAATTCTAACAAGATCACTCCAAAGCTATACACGTCGATCTTCTCGTTCACTTTCGTCGTATAAGCATATTCTGTAACGAAATTTTATATTAAAACGCCATAAAATTCCATTTAACCTCGAGGGCTAGCTCAACTGATACCCCACGGTTACATAAAAGAACACCTTTTAAGTAGGTTATTTATTTTGAAGTGAAAATTTTACCTGGTGCCATGTATCCGCATGAGCCGGCCATGGTGGACATCACGTTGAACTCGGTGTCCTTGGCTAAGATCTTGGCTAACCCAAAATCGGCAATCTTAGCATTGAACTCGCCATCTAAAAGCACGTTGCTTGATTTCACGTCCCTGTGAACGACTACTTGAGAACAATCGTGGTGCATATAACACAAACCTCGAGCAGCCCCAATTGCGATCCGCAACCTTTTAGGCCAATCGAGCACCACATGACGCACGGAACCATTTAGCCCACGGTTTGACGGAGCCTGCTTTCGGTGCAGCCATCGGTCCAGACTCCGGTTCTCCAAGTACTCGTACACAAGGAGCTTCGAGTTATCACATGAAATGCAACCCATCAATTTCACTATGTTTGAGTGGCGAATCGTGCTTAGAATCTCGACTTCTGCTAAGAACTGTTTCTCGAGCCTTTGATCTAAATCTTTTGCATTTGAAATCTTCTTAACCGCCACGAAATCGCCTGATCGGTTTACCGGAACCCGGTACACCTTCCCTGAACCACCTTCCCCGATCACGTTGTTGTCGGTCAAACGAGGCAAAATCGTGGATTCTGTGAAAGTTAATTTCTGGAAAGAAGTGAATTTCCATTTCGAATCGAGGCGGTTCTTTTTCCTCCGATAAAGAGCGACGACATATCCGGTCGAAAGTAGCGCCAGGATCAACAAAATTACCGCTATAGCTGCGATGATCGCCACAAACTTGGAGGAAATCTTGGTAGATCGTCCGTTTTCGGATCGAGAACCGCAAGAACTAAGGCCCAGGGATGGATTATTTGAACAAAGACCTGGATTTTTCAAGAAACTTTTATCGAAGGCGGCGTTATCAAGCTGACCGGGAATGATTCCGGTGAGACGATTGGCCGAAAGATCGAGGGAAACGAGCCTTAGACGGCCGAGTTGACTTGGGATTTGCCCCGACAGGTGGTTGTTTGACAAGTCTAATGCCGTTAGAACTGCTAAGAATCCCAAACCAGCCGGAATCTGACCGGTGAGTTGGTTCCCACTAAGATTTAAAGTTGTGAGTGAATCCCAGGAGACTATAGTTGCCGGAAGGCTGCCGGTGAGCTGGTTTCCGTCCAGCAACAAAGTAGCTAAATTTGCAAGTGCAGTTAAATTTTGAGGAATCGCACCATCGAATAGATTATGGCTTGCTCTGAAAACTACCAGACTTGTCCAAGAAGATAATTTGGTGGGAATTTGACCGGAAAACCTGTTGTTACTGATCTCGAGGGTTGATAATTTTGGCCCCAACTCCTGTGGCAGCTCGCCGGAAAATGAATTGTCACTCATCATCATTGTTTTCAAGCTCGGAATCTTCCACACTCCATCCGGGATTGCTCCGGAAAATTGGTTCCCTTGAGCCTGAAAACTCTTCAATGTTCTACAAGTTTCAAGCGATTTTGGTATCGTGCCGGAAAGATTGTTATTGAAAACGATCAAGCCTATGAGACTCCTATTGTAGCACAGATTCTCCGGTATGTTTCCACTGAACTGATTCTGGGAAACCTCGAATATTTGCAGTTCAGAGTATCTTCCAAAATCCGGTGGCAATGGACCGGAGAAATTATTAGTGAAAATTCGAACATCTCTCAGGCTAGGCAAGCGACCGACACCCACCGGAATTTCACCGGATAACTGATTAAACATGAGAGTCAAATTTGTTAAGTGCGTTAGATTCCCAAAGCCGTCGGGTATTTTGCCGGTCAACTTGTTTGCAGAGAGGTCGATGATCTCCATGTTCAATGCTTCAATCGAGTCCGGAATTCCCCCTGTTAGATTGTTTCCGTAGAGATAAACTTCGGTTAAGTTCTTTAACAAGAACAAATCACTGGGTATTGATCCGTTGAGGCTATTAACGGACAAATCCAGCAGCTCCAATGCCGCCATGCCGGATAAATTGGCAGGTATTTCTCCGATCAAGTTCGCTTCCGTCATATAAAATCTTCTCACCTTTTCCAAACGAGTAAAACTCTGGGGGAGTCTCGACGGTATAAATTTGTTATAAGACAAGTTCAATTCTTCCAGCTGATTTAAATTACCGATTTCCTCGGGAAAACTGCCATTAAAAAGATTCTGGTGTAGTTGAAGTGATGACAGCTTCGAAAATCTTGAAATGCTGACGGGAATGTCGCCGGTGAAGTTATTTGAAAAGAGGCTGAGGTACCGGAGGTCCGGGGATAACCGTGATATGTCCTCCGGGATGGTTCCAACAAAGAAGTTTTGAGAGAGATCAAGGTACTGGAGATTGGTGCAGCTATAGAGAGTGGTGGGAAAAGCTCCGGTGATATAATTGTAATTTAGATCAAGGTGGGTTAAGTTCTTGAGGTCACAAATCATTGGTGGAATAGGTCCGGTGATGTCTGTATTCACGATGGTGATTCCGATGACGGTGGTGCCACTACATGTAATCTCCGGCCAGCTGCAGGGATTGGAGGATGCGTTCCAGTGGCTGATGGCGGTTGGATTGGACCAAGAGCGTTTGAGGTTGAGAAGGGTGTTTTGGTCATTTTGGATGGTGGTGGGTTGTGAAATTACATGAAAGGGCCGGAGGAAGAGGAGGAGGAGGAGAAGAGAGGGTAGGGGTAGTACTGACATATTGGTTTTCCGGCACCGCGGAGGATGGTGATTATGGTGGGGGCATGTAAGATGAGGAGAGTTGCAGAGGTGTAGAAGCAAAATATTGTCTTCACTCCATGTTCAACGTTCCTCATTTTAATTATTACAAAATAGTGAGTTACAACATTAGTCCCTCTACTTGTTTAAGTTTTCCATCATGGTCACAATCAAAGCTCTTGACTTGTTAAAGGTGTTTTATGTCATTTTATTAACTTCATCAGGACATCGTCTTCATTTTTTCCATCTTCCGTTACCATCACCATCAACACCACCTACCGAATAAACGACTTCAAGCCCCATTCAGTACATTAATTCAACATGCATATGATAAAGCAGTAGCAAACACGTTATAGATTCTCAAGGGATAGAATCTAAAAATTAAGGCGGTGTTTATTGACTTATTTAGGTGTGACACCGGTAATAAGCACTTTTGAGTGTTTGGATAAACAACTTATACTGGTGCCAAACCGATAATGAGAAGTTTTTGAAGAAGTTAAACTCTTCTGACTTATAATAAGTTGATAAGTGCTTTTGTAGAAAAGCATAAGTTGTTTCAAATAAGCAATCACAAACACCCTCTAAGTTGAATATTAAAATGGATGACGTATGAATGACTATATAGAAAGACAAACAACGTTAAAAAATAGAGTATAAATATTATATAATTAAGATCTTCTAGAACTGACAACTGTTTGGATTGGATGTATTTAAAAACATTCAGGCAAAGGTGTTAAAAACATCTGATTAAGTACAATCTAATAACACATAATCCCTTGAATTTCAAGTATACGACTAATTGCTACTTACATACAAATATTCATATATCTTATGGGTTCGTTTATCTGATCTTCAAATTAGCTTTGTAATTTCTATTTTTTAAACATAGATTCTAGATTTTATTTTCTCAAATAGTATTGTATTGATTTATGATTTTTGTTTTATAATAAAATCTTGCGTTTTACTGTGACAGCGTCAAAGTAAAAATATTTAGATATATCTAAAATAAACAAAAGATTTTAAAAATATCAACTAGAATGTGTTTGATAAATATATTCATTGGTTTTCATTAGAGGTGTTCAAAAAAACTGTTGGACTGCTCAAACCGGCCGAACCAAGTCAAATCGGACCGTTTTTGACGGTTTAATCGGTCTAACGGTTTGGTCTGATTTGGAAAATAGCAAAACCGGATGGTTCAGTCCGGTCTGAAACTTTTTCTGGGCGGTTAGACCAAACCGACTGCCAAATACATACATACATACATAAATATATATATATATATATATATATACATACATACATACATAATTATATATATATACATACATATATATATATATATTAGTATTAGCAAGCCCAACTTTTTTAACTTATGAGCTATGACCCAAATATACCATAAGCTCAACATAAACCCTAACATCTAATATAATCAAATTCAAATGAATCAACGCCTAAAAATCCCTAAACCAGTAAACATATCGACACATTTGACATTGACGATCTTCAAATTTTGAAATCTCTCAGGAACTCTATCAATCTATCGATTTAGTTACGAACTCAAGACTCAAAAATTGAGAGCTGTGAAGTCGTGGATTTTGTTACTCAATACTCGCAGTTGAGTTGTAACTTTGTTAATTTGTTTGTTTTATAATATGTATAATATATTTATTTGTTTGGACTTTGGATTGCTTAGATTTTGGACTCAAGAACTACTTAATTATTACATTTATTTGTTTGGATATTTTGTCTTTGTTAAAATGGATATTGAATCTAAAATTCTAAATTATATATGTTTTTTTAATTTTAAGATTTAAAGTCTATTAAAGGCTCATACCGGTCAAACCATACCGCCTTTTCGTGATATGATTTGATCAGTCTGGATATTTGATGTCAAACCATTCGTTTTGAAAATTTTATAAACCGCTATTACAATTTAGTTTGTGATATGAGGGATTAAACCGAACCATAAACCCCCTAGTTTTCATTGTGGAATTTTCAAAGTCAAAGTGTGTTTCTAGAAAAGGCCAAATCCATCACTTTTAGGAGAAGCAATATCCTGATCCTCTCCAAAGTCAAAGTCTCCCACCCATTGGTTCACCTTTAAACCATGTGCTACATTTATTCCAACCTTCATATTTGAATCTTTATTTTTAATCATAATCTATTTCTTTTTATTTTATTTAACAATAAAAAGGTTACTTTTTATTGTTATTTTTAAAATTCATTATTATATTATGTCTATTTTATCAATTTTTATCAAATATTATATAATCTGTTATGTTATGAAAATCTAACTGGTCTGGTTAAAAAATTAATAATATTTAAAAAGTATCAATTTTTATAATAAAAATAATAATTATTATAAATAGAAAAATGATACCAAACGATTGGCTGTTAAATTCCACCAAATGGTTAATGGGTGCAGAACATGATTCTCATTTCTAAAGTCTTAAATACATAATTTTTCCACATTATTTAATCACTAAGATTTTGTGTTGAATTTTTTTGATAAAAAGAAGACTGAATCATGTTTTTAGTCCCTCTAGTTTGTTGAGAATTTCTATTTTCATCCTTATAATTTTGAAATTACGATTTTCATTCTCATAGTTTATAGTATATTCCCGTTTTCGTCCTCATGATTAAATTTTTTTTTTTGTTTTTATGGTTTACGATTTATTTCTATTTTAATCATTCATACTTGAAAGCAGTGTTTAACTTTAAGGACGAAAATAGAAATGAATTACAAGTCATAGTGACTAAAACTGACAAAACCTGATGTTTAACAAAACATAGGGACGAAAATCGTAATTTACACTAAAAAGAAGGTCTAATGGATAAATATTTTCATTATTGCACATAAGTCCTCAACCTTAGAAATTTATATTAGTTGGCCCCTTTACCTTGTATAAAATACAATCTTACGTCAACAATTATGGTATGACCTCATTTACAAGATGTAGCTCAAAAACAGTTAGCAGATGAAAGATATTAATATCGATAGAGTAAATTATGAATTTGGTCTCATGGGTTATACTTTTTACTCTTAGTGGTCCCAAAATTAAAATAAATACACATTTCATACCCATGTTACACATTTTTATACCTATTGAGTCCCTCCCTGTAATGAAATAAAAAAAAGTTCGTTAACACATTTAACGCCAAGGTATTTTGGTCTTATATCCTTAATCTTGTCTTTATCCTATTAAACAATTTAAAAAAATATTATTTATTAACTTTTTTTTAGAAATTATACAAACAATGGTCCCTCCCCCCGAACGCCGATGACCTTTTGTTTCTCCGTTTGCCTTCGTCCCTAACACCACTCCAACCGAACCCCCTGAAAACCTCCACCTGCGATGATTGAGAACCACCAGCACCACTGTCTTTTCCATCCCCAATGAAACCTAAGATCTCCACTGGTTCTCTTGATCCACTCCTCTAGATCTCATTTTCTCAATTTGCCCTTCTCGTACCCATCAAGGCTCGACAGGAACGATGTTCATCTCTAGATCTCGTTTTGGTTATGGTTCAAGACGTGTGACAAGAAAGAGAGAAAGAGAAACCGGAGGCATAAATCCAAAATATGAATCTTTTATCGATTTCATTTTTAGGTTCAAAATCTAGGTTCAATTTTGGGTTTGAATCGTTTTCAGGTTCAAACCTGTGTTTCGATTTCGATTTTGGGTTTGAATCGTTTCTAGGTTCGATTTCTTGGTTTCGGTTTTGGGTTTGAACCTCCATATCTGTTTTTAGAGTTCATGGTAATTCCTAAAACGAGTAGTTTGGCCTCTATACCAGTTTCGATTATTGGATTTGAACCTCCACACTTTTTTCGATTTTAAGAACTAATTTTTTATTATGTTTGAACTTGCATCTGATTCGTGTGATGGAGGTTGGAGATGAAGATGCCCTTTTGAATTTGGGATTTTTTTCCCTTTGTGTTCTTCGAAGTATAGAAACAAACACAAAATGTTACATATTTGATTTGGATACATCGAATAGTTCCAGATTTGATTTCCAAAGAAAATCTTTGTATCGGATTTGAGTTTCTTCAATGGTTATTTGAAGAAGAAGAAAACAATCTTTGCGGGTGGTAGTGTGGTGGCCGAAGGTGGTGGCGGTGTTGGTGGGAAATGTATCATCAGGGTCGGTCCTGAGATTTTGGATGCCCATGGCGGAAAGCCAAAAAAATGCCCCTTATGTGTGTATATAAAAACCAAAATAAACTATTTGAAAGGGTTTGGAACCTATTCAATCTAGGCGGCTCATCCTCACGCTGATTTTTTTTAATATAACAAAAATGATGCGGGGAGCAGGGGGAT